GAATAGGCCAAGGAATCATGCTGATTTTGAAACTCGTTTTTTTTAGTATTTAGTCGTTCAATAACCGTCATTTATTAGTTAATTTTAGAGTTGTTTTAAAATAATAATTATATTTATCCTTAAATAATTATTTATATTTGGTTTATAAAAAGTGTAATAATTCAAGTATTTAACCTCAATTATTAAATAACTCCAGCCGTAAAAGGAGGCTTTTTTACGGCTAAAAGTTAGTTTGATTATTGTATCAAAATATTATTTTCAACCACCATTACACATACCACAATATTTATGATATTTTTTTCCTTCGTCAACATGTTTAATATGCTGTCTCATTGCATATTCCTTCGATTTTTCCACCATTCGTTTATGTTCTTTTCTTAATTCCTCAAACTTTTTTTGTTTTTCGACTTTTCTTCTAACAAATCAAAACAGAGCAGAACCGATAACAACAAGAGAGACAATTAATAAAATTCACAAAGTCTTCTTTTTTATACTAAAATTTATAACTTCATTCATAACCTCCTCAGAATTTCCCTTGGACTTTTATATAACCTTTAACCCTGTTTCCTCTTTCATAATATCGAATAGCATCACGAATCAAAATGGTAATCTATTTCTCTAACTTCTTCTACTTGTGCTAAATTTTCTTTTGATAAATATATGTTGTTCTTTGTCATATTTTTATAAATTATTCTTATATTTTTATATGCATTTTACTAACTTTTACAGAGTTAGCCAACTGTTTCTTTAAAAGTCAAATTAGTAAGCAATTTAACTTACTTGATTGTTATCATATGTTTTTTTGACCATATCCCTCAATTAATCTAATAACTGGTTCTCATAAATCAATTTCAAAAGTGTTTTTCTTGCCTTGCAAAACCATCGTAATGCGTTCTAATCCGGCTCCAGTGTCCACACATTTTTCTGCTAAGGGCAAATATTTATCATCCTGATGATAAAATTCTGGGAAAACAATATTGCAAATTTCAATAAAACGTTTATTATCTAAGTCTTCAATGTTTTTTGGCAAACCACTTTCTGGATGAAAGTCAAAATAAATTTCGGTGTTAGCACCACAAGGACCATCACCCATATCCCAAAAATTAGTTTTCTTATTGCCAAACAGAATATGATTTTCCTTTATGCCTTGTTTTTTTCAAACCTCATAACTAACTTTATCATTTTCCCATACCGTAATAAAAAGGTGCTGAGAATTCATATTTAACCACTTGGGCGAAGTAAATCATTCTCAAATAATGGGGATAACCTCCTCTTTAAAATTACTACCAATTGAGAAATCCCCCAGCATTTCAAATAAAGTTTGGTGGTAAGATTGAGCATTAATATTTGCTAAGTCATCGGTGCGGATTACTCGTTGACAATTAACTAAGTTGCGAGCCGGTGCCAAATTGGGATTGTTGAAATATTTTTTTAAAGTAGCTACTCCGGAATTAATTCATAACAAAGAGGGGTCATTTTGAGGAATAAGGGAAGCTGATTCTATTAAATGATAACCCTTTTGCTGAAAAATATCTAATCAACTTTGACGGACATAATTAATGGTGAATTTAGTTCGTGAATTCATTATTATAATTTTTGAAATGAAGTATTAATTTAGACTGACTGTTTTTTTTTTTTTTTTTTTTTGTGCCTTTGGCTTTCCTAAAAAAATCTAGTAATTTAAGCATTCCGCAAACACCTCAAACTATCAAAACGATAACCGCTATTGTTAATAAAGTTTTACCCTCATTTCCTTGACCCTGTGAGTTTTTAGTTTCTCCTTTCAGTTTCTTTATTTCATCATCAAAAAGTTTTAATTTTCCCTCCAAAGTCTTGTTTAGGTCTTTAATTTTTGCTAATTCATCTTGAATTCCTTTGTCCTCATTTTTCTTGGTAGGTTTTGAAAGGATATTTTTTTGCTTGATTTTTAGCAAAAATTCTTTCACAATGACCACAAGTTCTTCCCGTGAAGTAGCAGTATTTATTTTCCCCTCGTAATCTTGATACTCTTTTTCAGCAAATTGTCCTCTAATTTGCCGCAATACTAATAAGGAATTAAACCTAGTAATTTTTAACTCAGTTTGATTATTTTTTTCTCCTCGTAGGGTCGCTAATTCTCAACGTAAATTTTCTAATTCTTTCTTTTCATTTTTCTTTTCGGGGATATTTTCTTGGTCATCTAGGTCAATATTAGCAAAATCATGAGGGATAATTTTATGGACTAAATCAGAATCAATAACCATTTTGCTTTCTGGCTTTCCTTCTTCAAACTCTTCTGCTCATTGCAAGAGGCAATAGTCAAAAACGCTATCAAGTCCCTTTTTTAATTGTCGAACCCCTTTTTCCCTAGTTTTGTTAATTAAAGTTTCAAGAGCTTGAGAGGTAATTTCAAATTTATCTTTTAAACTTTCCTTATTGGCAAAAAGGTTTTTAATAAACCGCTGGGCAATTTCTTTCTTTTGTTCCAGAGTATAGCCTGGCAATTCAACCACCACGGGCATTCTTGACAACAAGTGTTTCGGAATTTCACTCTGGTCATTAACAGTAATTATAAAAGTTATGTGAGAAAAGTCCAATTTAACATCCAGATAATAATCAAGAATTTCCTGGTTTTGCACCGGATCCAAAACGGCATTTAAACAATTATGAATCGCAGAATTACCTTTGTAAGAACTGACCTTATCAAATTCATCCAGTAAAATTAGTGGATTATGAGTTTTGGTTTCAATTAGAGCCTTAGTTAATTGTCCTACTCCATTAGTTCCCAAGGAACTTTCATTATTTCCTAACAGTAGAGAACTATCCGACATCCCTCCCAGTGCCACCATAAAGAATTCTTTTTTTAAAGCTTGAGCTAGGATTTGTGCAAAGGTGGTCTTTCCTACTCCGGGAGAACCAACTAGAAATAAGACTAGCGGACTCCTTCGAAAGTCATTTTGTTCACAATAACTTTTAATCTTTAAACTATTCAAAACCTTTTGCTTTTGTTCTTCAAATCCTACTTGCTGATTGAGAATTTTTTCAGTTTCTGATAAACTAGCAGGAGAAGAAGTTGAATGATAAGCAGCAATTAACTCATCGAGTATTTCTATTTTCTTGTTTAGAATACTTTTTGGCACACTGGAATAGGCCAAGGAATCATGCTGATTTTGAAACTCGTTTTTTTTAGTATTTAG